CTAGAAATTCTTTCTTCAATTTCTGAACACCATGGGGAAAACCCTGCCCTGTTCACGTTCTGAGCTCGCTTAGCAGCTTAAGCCTGTAATTTTGAGGAAGTGGGTCTTTTTCGAAGGTCATTTTCACACAGTTAAAAGAAGTGTACTGATTTAAGTGTGTTATTAAATCAAGTCAAGTGTGTTAATACGTCGTCAAGCTTTGTCAAATGGATCAAAAACATTTAGTCTTGGACGCAACCTATTTTCGTGAGCACGGGGGTGTTAATGACCAAAGTAGAGACGCAGATTTTGGGGACCCATTCTGGGTAGGGGACTGCTGCATACGGCCCAGGGAGACGCATCCCTCCTCGTTTCTATCCTCCTTCAACCGAGGGAGGTGGAGATTGGTATGGAACTCGTTTTGAACGGTTAATGCTGTAAGGACTCCTCACTCTATTCCCTGTGAAATCGCGCCCCTGGTAACCGTCGGTGGGGTAGAAACCCAGAAGTATGGCAGGTCCTACATATTCCTCTGGGACAGCCGCCTACGTATCCTACCGCTCCCGAAAGCCCTCGTATGAACACAGCAAATTGCCATAATTAATGCTGACTGGGAAAAAAGTTCAAAAACACACGATCTCTTGGGACAATCTGATATGCGACAAATATCCGAAGAGATCACCTTGTGACAGAGAAACTTGGATGAGGTGTGGATAATTAGCTTAATTTCAAAAAGTACAGCAGATCAGCAAGCTTTTTTGAGCGTTATAAACTCGCCCAAGCCATTTTTATCTGTGAATTTGAATGCCACGATTCCACTGAAGGATCCTACTGTGAGCTTGAAAACGAAATTGACGGACCATCACACTTGTTGGGCACCTCTTTGGGTATTATGATTGTGATTAGCATCAGGGGAATTGGAGCAGAAGTTACTCCCCACCGCTCAGAGAAAAATGACCCTATCCTCTCTTCAAAGCATTCAGTCATTTGGTGCTAACTTAGTTGAGGGGGGGGACCACGCGGCAGCGCGGCGCTCTGTTCGTCAGCTCCTCCAAGG